CGAGAGGATTGCTTGAGGCTAGAAGTTCGAGACCAACCTAGGCAACAACGCAAGATCCTGTCACTACAAAAAATAAAAAAGAAATTAGCAGGGCATGGTGGCATGTGTCTGTAGTCCCTGCAACTTGGGAGGCTGAGGTAGGTGGGACTGCTTGAGCCCAGGAGTTTGAAGCTACAGTGAGCTGTTATCAGGCCTCTGCACTCCAGCCTGGATGACAGAGCAAGATCCTGTCTCTGGAAAAGAAAAAAAAAGTGGGAACATGGTGGTTGGTGTATGGAATGACAAGGGAGGGGTGGTGGGTGACAGTGAACGAGAGGGCAGTCCCTCAGGGTGCTGCTTGGTCCTTTGAATCCAGCCTGCTATCTCCCGGCCTCTTTGGACTTTGGCCTCTGCTTTTGTTCCCAGGCTTTTGGCCTCTTTACACAGGAGGTCTTTGACCGCACTGCCTCCCTTGTTTCTGGAACTTCAGCTGTTTGCGGCTGATCAGGAAATGTGGGTGAAGGGGTCAGGGAGGCACTGCTACCCTTATCTGCCCTCCTGCTGACCTCGTCACTTGGGCTTGTTTTTGCCGCGAGCTAGACTGTCCTCTCACAGGGCAGATAGCTGCTTCCCAAGCTGGATTTCTCTGGCCTTCCAAACTGCCCCAAATACTCTGGCCTAAGGTACCTGCTTGACCTGCAGGTCAGTGACCCTGAGCTTATCAAAGCCCTCTGAGCTATGGAGACCACCTGAGTTTTAGCTCGTCATTGAGGATGAGGGAGAATTTCCTGGGAACTTTCTTTATTTTTGTAGGGTAGGCGAATAGAGGAGATAGATATTTCTTTTTGTTGCCCAGGCTGGGGTGCTGTGGCACACTCCTGGCCGCTCTAGCGTCAATCTGCTGGCCTCCAGCGATCCTTCCACCTCAGCCTTCCAAGTAGCTGGAACTACGGGTGTGTGCGACCATGCCTGGCTAATTTTTGATTCATTGTAGAGATGAGGTTTCGCCAAGTTACCCAGGCTGGTCTCGAACCTGAGGGCTCAGGCAATCCACTCACCTCGGTCTCCCGAAGTGCTGGGATTACAGACTGAGCCACCAAATCCAACCAGTTTTAGATACTTCTAAGCAGCAAGAGAGGGCTTGGCTCCAGCCAGCGGTGGAGCCCCGCTGTGGAAGTCTGGAGTCGTGTGGGTGGACATTGGTTCAACACAGATGTCCATTGTAGGTCCCAAGCATTCTTTCACCCACCAGTTCATGTCAACTTGCAGTGTATCCAGAAAGCCTTGGCTTCTCACGGGTACACTCATATTGCTCCTGTGCCTCTGGAGAGTCTGCTAGTAAATGCATCTGGGGAAAAGGCCACACTGCTTATTGATGGGATTCCACGAATGTGGTTTAGGCAGTGGTGGCCTTTGCTTGCGGGGAAGCTTCTATTTATGTGTGTGATATTTGCATTGGGTGTTCCTGAGTGATAGGGAGCTCAGCATCAATTGCATTATCCTGGTACTTGTGAACAGCACAAGAAAGGGCACATGCATCATTCACAGTGAAGAGAAAAATGCAAGGGATTTCCAGGAAGATGCTATCTCCCTGGCCTCCCAGTTCTGAGAGTCACAGGTTTGGCTCCATTTTATCTATCTTGGACTTAAGGGATAGAGGGTGTTAGCACTAAGAGGAGGGTGGGAAACAGGAGCTATTGGTTTTAAAGGTTTTAGAGCAGAGGAATTCCTTTGTCCTACCCTCTTTGTAACGTCTAAATGGGGATGCCATGGTGCGTTAGATGTACATTTCTTAGCTTTCAAACCCATTGCCTCTAAGTCATCAGCAAGCAACGTATCCCCGCCTGTGTCCCAGAGAGGCTTCACAGGCTTGTGCCGATGCTCTAGGCTGTGGTTTATAAAAAGCTGCAGATGGAGAAGGCTCTGTGTTGTGTACACAACTGGGACTGAGGATATCACTCATTATGTTCTCTGGTGCCCTTTGTATTTGGACACTGATTATAAATTCCTTTCCAAGCTCAAGGCCAGGGAAACAAAGTCTCTCTGCTCCGATGAACAGATTGTTTGTGTTTCTCAGACTCTTTCCAGAACTAGCACAGTCCCTTACATAGAACAGAGGTGTAGGAAGAGAATGAATGAATGAATGTGTTTTCCTGGTGTTAAGTCCTGAGTGCAGAAAGTGTTCTGTTTTTATGAAACAGTGAGATACCTCTGGGACCATTCAGCTTATCACTAGCAGCTTCCTTTGAGGGGGATAGGACCTCACAACTTTAAAATGAAGTGTTCTTCAACAGTCATGTCTGGCATACCCCTTCTTGAATTATCAAAAACAAACCATTCAGACCAGAATCCGGTGGCCTTTCTTCTGTCTACTCTCTGTCAAGTTTCTTCCCCAAAGTAACCATGGATGTGTTGTTCAATGAGTATCCCCTCTTACCCGCAGCCTCGGTCTTCCTCTTTCTAATTTTCGCTTTAGATGTTTGTGGTTTTTGCAGACATTTGTGCCCTGAGAGTTCAGCAGTGACTTTATGAATTGTCACCAGAAACTCAGAATCTCTGTGGCAGGATCTGGCCTCCAAGGACCTGTCAGAAACTGGCAGTTTCTGACAGTGCATGGGACCAGCTCTGCCGAGATAAGTCAGCCTGGAAAGATCTGTTTCTGGAATCTGTAACAGTTTGGGGAACGCTGAAGGCCAAGAGGAGCGTCAGGTGTCTCTCGGCAGTAGGAAGCATGATGTGTCCAGTGCTCACTATCTCCATGAGCCTACATGGCCTGTGTCTTTGGGGTTTTGTTTGCAGCTGAGGAGTTTTCTTTAGAAATTGTGTTAATTTTAATCATGTGGGATGTAATTTTTTTCTAAAATACCTTGCATATCTCCAGTTGTCTTAGCCCAAGAATGTCATACAAAGGAACTTCATTTATTTTTGTATTTAGCATGAACTCTGATACATTATAGTAGGTACTCAGTAAATCTTGTTGAGTGAAAAACTAATGATTTTGTCAGAAAAATAATTTTGATTATTTTTTATTGCAATGTACTTTAGATACTTTAAAAAATATAGGTAGTTGAAAAGAAGGAATTCCTTGTTAGGAAAGAAAGGACTGAAAGCCAGGGGCATCTGATGCGTGCAGGGACAGCTTTCCTTCCTCTTGCCTCAACTCAGCCCTTGCACAATGGAGGCTTCCTTTTAATGCTTGTAAAATGTCACTTCATGCCCATGTTTTGTGTTTTTGTGAGATGACTTCCTGTCCATGTTTAATTACTAGTTTAGAACTTTTTAAAAATCAGATTTACATTTGGCATATACAATAAGATACACTATTTAAGATGCAGAATTCAGTGAGTTTTGACAAATGTGTACACTGTGTCATCCCCACTTCAATGAAGATTAGAATGTGTCCATTATCCCAGAAAGTTCCTCGTGCCCCTTTGTAGGCAATGCTCCCCATCTTAATTCTAGGCAACCACTGACCAGATATCTCTCAGTAGAGACTGGTTTTGCCGATTCTAGAACTTCATATGTGTGGACTCATGTCCTCTCTTTTTCCCATCGATATTTTGTCTAGGATTCACCCACATTTCAACTGGATTTTAAGACTGAGAAGGAGTTATTCAAGCAGAGGAAGTCTGAAGGAGGGAGCTATAAAAGAGCAGCGTGTACTTAGAAAACCAGATGAGTGTCCCACACTTTGAGGAGACAGAGGCAGGAGAGGAGCCTGGTGTGGACAGTGCTGGGTTTTTCCTGAGCTCTGTGCTCTTGGAAAACAGTTTGTTTTAGCATTTTGAAAAATACAAAGAAAATAAACTTTGGGGATGAGGGAGAAAGAGGTGGGGGAAGGAAGGAAAGAGGGAGGAATGGATGAACAGATGGACGGAAGGAGAGACAGAGAGAGAGAGACAGAGAGAGAGAGAGAGAGAGATTTTCCATAGTCTTGTCACTCATAGAAAAACCATAACTGTTTTGGAGCTTATCTTCCTGCTCTTGTCTGTGTATGTGTGTTTGTTTTACAAAATATGATCATAGTGTATATATTGTTACGAATATCCTTTTTAACTCACCAGGGCATTGTGACCGTTTTTCAATGCCATTAGGTCTTCCACAGTGCTTTTAATGCTGCCTAGAATTCTGCTGAATGGATGTACAATAATTTAGAGTCCCTTTTGTTAGATGTTTAGGTTGTTTCCAACTTTTCTTGGCACAGTTATGATGTATCTTCTTGTGGACACATCATGCAGACATCTGTGCTGACTTCCTTAGGTAACCAAGTCATTTTTGGGGCACATATGGTTATCATCAGCATTGGTCAATAGATGATTTTTGGGCACAAACATGCTCTCCGGCCTGTTGACCATTTCTTCCTCAACTAAATGCTGAAGACAGCTGTGCCTTTTGTGTTCTTGAGTTTGATTTTAGCAGTAGTGCTGTCTCTTGTTTCCTGTGGTCTCTTCTTCCTTAGTTGGCTTGGCCTCTCTGGTCTCTCGGTTTTGTTTTTCTGAGTTTGTGGGGGGCCATGGTGATTACTCTGGAATATCTCTGAGCAGGAGTCTTAAGTGAGGCCTGGAGGGGATTCCCTGGAGTATTAGTGTACAGTTTCCTCTTGCTATGTACCTGGCAGGTGGAGTCTTCCGGTAGTGAGCCTGGAGTCCAGGCAGGGTGAGGTATTGCTGCCCCTTCATGAGTGGTATTCCCTGGAATCTGTGGTTGAGGCCAGTGTCCATTGTTTTCCAGTTCCTTGCTTGACCCTGGTGTAAAGTTGAGGAATCGTGTGTAGCCTCATCATGGATGGGATAAGGGCCTGTCCTGTCACACATTCTTTTACCTTGCTTAGCCATCTTCACATCTTTAGTGCTGATAAACCCATCTGTATAATAGATTCCATATTGCTGGGGAATCTGGTGAATTAGGCTTAGCTGAGAAAAGTCCTTGGTGTGAGGTATTTCTCCTTTGTTGTGACTATGGTTCTCACTGCACACCTCCTCAATTCCTTCCCTGTTTACCGCTGAATTTCTTTTTGGTAGGAGCTGGTAGTGATGGGTGCCCCAGGGTCGTTTTATTGGGCTGGGACAGTCAAAGTGCTGAACCTCACAGACAACACCTATTTTAAACTGAATGATGAAGCGATCATGAACAGGCGGTACACCTATCTAGGTGAGTAGCTCATGGACATGACAGGTAAAAAAGGGGAACTGGGAGCAATTCCTACCAAAGTACGAATGCTTGCTTTATTAGTGGAAAGAAGCGTTAGTTGCCTTCTGCATCTATTGTTCTAATTGCTTCCATCTTTACCCAGGGCATCGTAGCATCTAGCCCCACACACAGATGGTAGAGAGGAGAATTGGATTAAAATTGTGCGATTGAATTAAAAAGCTGACAGTTGGGCCCCCAGGGAAGCAAACATTTCATTTTCTTATTTTAGCAATTACTCAAGTTCAGATGGTCAGTTACAGAATGAGTGCAATAGAATCCTGGTTTCTCATGGACATCTCTTTGGATGGAATCTCTGCTTCCTGGTCACAAAACTGGTTGCAAATAGAAATAATGTGAACCAGAACTTATCATGACAGATGGCAGCCTAATGCTGATGTTTAATTAAAGGCTTAGAAAAATTTCTCTTATTTTCTCAGCACTTTTGATTTTCTAGAAAGAAGATAGACAATTTAATTTAGCAGCCATCAGGCAAGAATGACACTGAGACAAGGCCATTCCCATTTAAAAACAGACATAGGCTGTCTTTGCCTGTGGAGATGACAATTATAAGACTCTTTTTCTTTAATTCATGCCCCCAATGCTATAATTCTGGACTGAAAACAAAGCTAAATTTAGGAAAGCCTAATGATGACAAAACACACACTACATATAACGTAAATCAACAGAAGTCCCTGGCTCCCTTTTTGTAGAGCAGGTCACTGGGAATTTCTTGTTAGATGGGGATACAGAGTTGTGGACTCACTGTTCCTTTCTAACTACAGGTGTTTTGTTTTGTTTTTTCCCCAGTAGCATAGACCCAGTAATACTTCTACTTCAGGTCTCTGGGTATTGGACCCCATGCCCATCCAGCTCCTTAATACTGCTGTTTTATAAAGCACTTACCCTGTGCTAGACTGTGTGTATTATTTCTTTTAATTTCTGAAACAGCCTTATGAGGTAGCTGTTATTAACCATATTGTATGGATAGAAACTGAAGTACAAAAATGTTCTGTAACTTGCCAAGATCACATGACTCCCAGGTAGCAAAGTTGGCTATAAACCTGTGGTTTCTGAGCGCAGAGTCTAAATGCAGAGCGGCCTCCTCTATGGGTACTGCTGATATAGCACCTATCATGGTTATTGTGCCCCTCGCTGGGCTGGGAGTACCTCGAAGGGAGGGATTTTTATTTGACATTTCCAGGACTTGGTAAACTGCCTCATGTATGGTAGGAACTCAGCGTATATTCATTGAGTCAGAGAATTGAGAAAGTTTGGATGGTGGCTTTAGGGTCTAGGATAGGTCCTTTGAACCCTAAGGCCTGTGGTCTCTCCCTGTATACAAAGCAGAGACCCTTATCTGCTGCAGGGATCAGCAAGGATCAGCTCAGGCTTTGATCTCACTCATAATACTCATAGATAATGTGAGCCTCCAATCTGAGAGAAATCAGCCACATGGTGAATAAGAGTTGATCATGGTATGGTGTCATCACAAAACTCGAATAGCTTATAATCACAACATTAAAGTTTGAGGGTAATGACAAGTTTTGGGAATATATGGCATCCTATGCAGGGTTTATGCTGGCTGGATGGGAGACTTAAGCCTGCCAGCAAGGCTCTTAGTAAGTAGGAGAAATTTAGACTAAGAACAGACAACATTTCCTTTGTTTCTAGATTCCTTTTACACCCAGATTCTTTGACCAACCAATTATCCATCCACCCGTTTACTCCCCCCACCCACCAACCTACTCACTGCCAACTTCTTTTGCTTTCTCTTAGGAGTATGACATAATAGTTAACAGCAGGGGCTTTGGAGACACAAATTGGATTTGAATCTTGCTGTGCGACTTTGGCATGGTGTTTAACAATGTTTTGTCTATTTCTATATCTGTAAAATGGAAGAAACAATCATACCTTCTTCATAGATTTGTGAAATGAAAAAAGAGAATAGTATCTAAAGACACATGGAAGAATGTTCATAGCAACTTTATTCATAATAGTCCCAAGCTGGAAACAATCCAAATGCCCAGCAACAGAAGAGTAAAGATATTATACAGTCATACAATGGAACATTACTCAACAATAAAAAGAAACAAACTACACTTAACAACATGGATGAACATCACAGATATGCTGAGTGAAGTTCTAGAAAAGACAAACCTATATATAGTGATAAAAATCAGAAGAGTGGCTGCCTGTGTGGGGGATATTGACTAGGTGAGGGCATGAGGGAACCTTCTGGGGTTCTAGTTCTATGGTTCTATTCACTTTTTTGACCTGGGTGGTTGCATGGTTATGCACATGTGCACACCTTCTTTAAGTTCTACACTTCAGATAAGTGTATTTTACTAGAACTATACTTCAAAAAGATAAAAAAGTGTATAGTATTTAGCACAAGTACCTGTTCCAGAGAAGACACTCAGAAAGCACTCTTTCCTGCCCTGATGTCCTTGCAAACATTCCATTTTCTGAGATGAGCCATTTTATCATGAGAAGACTGACAGCAGCCATTTGTTTCCTGGTCGCTGTCTTAGAAGAACTTAGAAGAACTGGACCATCCAGATAAAGGACATGCTTGAGAAACCTTTTCCTCTGGTGGATATTTTTCTTCCCTGCCCTTCTTTCTCAACCCTGTCCTTGGTTTCTGCCCATCCTGTTCAGGTTATGCAGTGACTGCAGGCCACTTCTCTCACTCATCTACTACTGATGTGGTAGGAGGTGCCCCACAGGATGAAGGCATCGGCAAGGTAAGGAGAAAAGCCTGTGGAATTGCTGAAGGACAAAAAAAGGACAGAAAAAGGGAAGTACTGCCCTGGTATAGGGGTTTTCCTACTGACTTTGACCTGAACATTCTCCTAGGTGACTGGCAAGCAAGTGATGAAACAATGAGGGACCCCCTGATGGTTCCCTTCTGCTTGAGAGTTTCCCTTGAAAGCTCAATTAGGGTGTGAATACTCTCACACTCTCCATTTCTGCACTTTCTGAGGTTCTTCACAGCTGACTGTATGTGTGTGACTTATAAACCCGACTCCTGGCCTCAGAGTGCCTTCCAGAAGAATGACATCCCACGCTGTCCAGCTTCAAACTCCCCACCCTCCAAATTCTTCCCAGGTTTGGTTTTGACTTAATAGAACCAGATCTACTCCCAGGTGTCTTTGAAACTTTATTTATGTCCCCAATTATTCTCATATTTATTTCTCCAATGTTTTAGAAGGAACATTGGGTTCCCGAGACTGGTTCAGTCCAAAGGCTGGACTGGGAAAATGTGGGTTTGGCTTCCCCTAAAGAATAGCATCTGCCTAGAGTGTAGAAAAGACCCACCCCATGGATCTAGGTGTGTCTGAGTTCCTTTGGGAAGTATGGCCTCCAAGGGTCCTGAATTATGAACTATGCTTGTTGGTTTTTTAGCTTCAAGGAACAGAAAATCCAGATTGAGTAGGGTCAGGGATATGTTTTTTTTTTCGAGTTGGAATCTCACTCTGTCGCCCAGGCTGGAGTGCCGGGGCCGCTCCCGGCCACCACAGCCTCGACCTGCTGGGCTACGGTGATCCTTCTGCCTCAGCCTTCCAAGTAGCTGGAACTACAGGCATGCACTACCACGCCCGGCTAGTTTTTGATTTATTGTAGAGATGAGGTCTCGCCAAGTTGCCCAGGTGGGTCTCGAACCCGCGGGCTCGGGCAGTCCACTCATCTCAGCATCCCAAAGGTGTGAGATTACAGGCTGAGCCACCAAGCCTGGCTGGGCATATGTATTTTTAACAAATAACATAGGTTGTTTGGTGGGAAAGACTGAACAAACAGAGGAATGAGCTTTGGTTCTGCACTCTTATGGGTGGATCTATGATAGATTCTGGTCGGATCTTCCAGGGCTCAGAGAAGTGAGATCTAGATTCTAGATTGACCCACATGGGCTGAGACCACTGTTAGTTGGAACCCTCAGCTGGGATGTCAGGATGACCAGGGAGCTAATGAACCATCCAGCTGCCTAAGCTTGACTGAGATGTGTTCATGAGGGTTATTTCTGTGGATCCTCCTGTGCAGAGGTTAGGGGGCTGTTGCTCATGTTTTTGGAACATGTCTCTCCTTTCTCCCTAACACTGATGCTGTAGAGAAAGTTTCTTTGAAAATGAAACCAGATAAATCAGGGTCCTGAGCCAGCAGGGAGGAGGGGCATGCAGATAACCTTTGAGAACTTCACGAAAGAGGTCACATGAGTTTCTCTACATGGTAGAGGTAGAGAAGCACCGAGAACTGTCTGCACATTGATAATGCCATCAGGCTACCCAGCATCTCTATAGGGTTGGTAAATGCTGATCTCCAGTTCACAGTGTTGCAGATACCTCTATGCTGAAGATAGCAGCTTTGTCCCCCCTCACTAATTGCATAAAACTTGATCCAATGTATTGCTTTCCCTTCAGATAATTATGATGACTGCATAGTCCCTGATGAGTCTTAAGACAAGAATGGGGCTGGGTGCGGTGGCTCAAGCCTGTAATCCCAGCACTTTGGGAGGCTGAGGTGAGGGGATTGCCTGAGCCCATGGGTTGAGAAACAGCCTGGGCAACTTGGCGAGACCTCATCTCTACAATGAATCAAAAAATTAGCCAGCTGTGGTAGCATGTACCTGTAGTTCCGGCTACTTGGAAGACTGAGGTGGAAGGATTGCCTGAGCCCAGCAGGTCGAGGCTGTGGTGACTGAGTGTGCCACTGCACTCCAGCCTGGGCAACAGGGTGAGACTCCAACTCAAAAAAAAAAAAAAAAAGACAAGATTGGTGCTTACACCAATTGATAGTGTCAGGGAATCCTGGATCCACTTAACAAAGAAATAACCTGAAAATGCTTCTTTTGGTTAGACCACCTTAGAGGCACTGGGAAACTGGTCATAGTTGACAAAGTTGCTGATGATTCCACATTCCCAGGAACTGGAGCTGGTACAGATTTGATTCCCAAGGGCTCCAGAGTGAATCTCTGGCCTTCAGGATTTTGGTTAAAGTTACTCATTTCTAGTGTCAGGGCTTGAAAGCACTCACACTAAGATGGCAATTCCTTATTTTATGGGAGGGATCACCTACCCTGCTTCTCACAAAACACTCTTCCTACAAGGTGTAACTTGAGAAAGAAATTCCCCAGTCAAGTACATTTCGGAAGTTAGATGTCTGTGATTCATCTTTGCAGTGGAGATTCATAGTTTAAATGTACATGCTAAAGGCTCTAAAAAGTTCCACGGTAAAGGAATGTAATGTGTAACTCTGCATTTCCCAAACTGGACTCATATTTGCCCAAGCAGATCCCATTCAATAATGTTATGTGGAATCACTTTGGGAAACTGCTGCATGTACAATACTCACTTCTACCCCTTTGTCCTGTGTTGTGATACCTGACAAAGCTCTTAATTCATAGGAATACAGGAACTATTTCAAAGAAGAAAAGACTGACTTTTCCTGAGAGTTGAATTGTTTACTAGTAATGTGGAGGCTCCTTGGATCTTATTGTGTGTGGTTTCCATACACCATGTGGTTCAGAAGTGGTGATTTCTGCTTCAGGAATGAAGGACACTTTTTGTGCAGGGTTGGTAAAATGGGAGCTATGCTGACTTCTTCATGATCATTAGCCGATGTAAGCACTCCTGCCGTGTGCCTGGTCTTTAAATGAGACTCCCCGGAGGATGCTGGCAATATCTGGGGGTCATTGCTTCCACCCTAACTAGATTTTTTTTTCTTTCCATAGGTTTATATTTTTAGAGCTGACCGAAGATCAGGCACCTTAATTAAGATTTTTCAGGCATCAGGTAAAAAGGTGAGGTTCTTGGTATGCATGACTTTTTTGTTTGAGAGGTGTGACCATGTGAAAGTCATTGCTTCTTAGAAAATGGGCATGAAAGCCCTCCCTGTGCCCTGCATTTATATGTTGGTTCTGTCTGCATGTCAGTGCCTTTGCCGCCTCAGCAATATGTGTGACCTGCAGATGAATGGGATTCATGCTGATTTTAGGAGACATTGTGTAGCAAGATGAGTTTATGCGTGGTCAAGTTACAGCACAACTTCAAGAGGTTGTCCGTAGTTCAGACACTGTCATCAAAACAACTACATGCTCTGTCTCTCTGCCTTTCTCTGCCTCCATTCTCTTTCATACCTATTCATCTGTACTCCAGAGAGCTCAGGTCCAGCTGCATACAGCTTGCAAGCCTGTTTTGTCTATATAAGTGACTACTTTCAAGGGACATAGACAGGCAAATGCGTCTCATGTTCCTATCTTACCAGCTGGATACTACCTCCTTCCTGAGTCCTCTACCCTCAGCTGTCATTGCCAAGGAGACTGTTGTCACACAAAGAAAATTCAAGTGCAAGTCACCTGGTTCCTCTTAGAACCCTAAAGCAGAAATAGTTCAAGAGGTTCTCCTGAAGTTAGTCCTGGAATGAGGCTTATCTGCCTGTGCCATCCCCACCCTGTCCTTAATCCACTCTCTTCTTCCTGAGAGTTTGTTGTATTGCACTGTAGCCTAAAATTAAGCCGGTTAGAGAGTCCTTCAGGTAATAAGCAGCAGTTTTCATGGGCGTATCAGCCATGCATTCTTTAGTGTGGCTTAGGTCAGAGGACTGTTTAACTGAGCTTGGCTACTCTAAGGGGCACAAGTTTAGGCTGCCAGGAAGTATGGGGGATAATTTGGAGGCTGGTCTTGGTGGAGGCCTTAGTGGGCTCTGGGAAGAGGCACGGGATGCCTGGAATGTGAGAGGAAGACCTCAGAAAACAGGAGAATGCCAGAAGGCAATTTTATCTACCACTACCCTCAGAAAAGGGGTGAGGAAAAAAAAGATTGTTTTCTTTCTGGGCCATGGCCCCAGTTCTGTTCCTGCTGGGACTTAGGACTGCCATATGCCAGCCTGGGATCCTTCCACATTGTTCCGATGAAGAACCATGTTATGAGTTCCAAACATCCCCCTCCCAAGTAGGCCTTTTTGCAATTTTAACAGCCTGAATATGTGCACTTGGTATACAGTTGTCATAACCTTTTGAATAAAAAAATGCATCACCAAACTCAGTTGTGCATTTTTCTTCAGAACAGCTCTGTGTTCCCCTGAGAACTGTGCTGGCCTGTGTTATTTTAACATTTCCAAACACCAAAGCATCAACACTGGAAAATGACTGTGAGTGATTCTGTAGAAAAGGTTTTCCAAGCACCCCCAAAGTTAGAAAAGAAATAACTGCACACCACTTGTGATGAAAAAGTCCCAAAGAGCAGCTAGGGTGTGAATGGCACTAAGCCTAACATTTTAGATCCTTCTCCAAAATATAGGTAGATGGGTGAATGTGTCTCTTGTGGAAACAAACGCCCTCTTCCCTTCAAATGTACCTGGGTTTGAAAGCCTAAGATTGAAGGACTCTTTACTGGGAACTGTGGCACTTCAACACACCTGTCCCCCTGTTTTCTGAGCGTCTTGATGTTTAGTTGTAGTTGTGCCTCCTGACCGGCTCCTCCTTTCTGCCACGCTGCCTGTGCCATGGACAGACCCAGTTAATGCCTGTTGTCCTTGAGTCATGAACAGTCTATAATTATGCCCTCTCTCCCTCTTGCAAACCTCCCGCTTTGGGTGATCTTACCTGGTCATCTGCCTGTGCCCATGTTGGTCAGGTTTTGGGGGTTGATTTGAGAGTGAGTACTGTGAGGGGGAATGAGATAAACCTAGGAGGACCCACTGGTCCAGACTTTCCAAGGACTTTATGTCATCAAGTTCCAGGACAGATTCACTTGTCTGTCTGCTTGAATGTCCTTATTATGACAAGAGATGTTGGGTTACCTGAGGGAGGGACAGAAGGCCTAGGCATTTCATCTCATAGCCGTGTGACTTTTTCTTCTCTCTAGGGTTCTTTTTGCCCTAACCTTTGTACCATTCCCTAGGGACCTCTTTATTCTGCCTCTTACTCATGGCCCTCTGGCCTTCACTTCCTGTCTCGGTATCTCCAACAGGTTTTTCCCCATCATTGTCTTTCAGATTTTGAAATAGATCATTACCTGTCTTGATACATCTTATTCTGCTTTTTGCCAGAAGAAGTGAGATTGTCTTGTCTCTCTGACTTCTCCATTATCTCCCAGGGAGAGGACATGACCCCTGGCTTTCAAAGGATGCCTTGGGCTTTACCCCTGTGTCCGGAGCCACACGCAGAGAAAAGGGTTCTAACTCAGCAGACTGCAGCTTCATTTCTGCTTTTGTTTGGCTAGAATTTGATCAGATAGTCCTGTATCCTGACTTCTCATAAGACAGAAAAAAAAAAACAAAAAAACAAACACAAAAATCCAGTTCTCATCTTTATTGACTTCCTTTGAATAGTACACATGAGAAATCACCAATGTGTGCAGTTCAGATGTCAGTACTCACCCGTCTCACATTTCCAGGCTGATGGGGAGCTCTGATCAAGGGGTGCTCACCCCAACGCGTCTTGTTGCCGTATTGAAGTTTTATTGAATTAACTGAGTATGTGAGGTGTTTGCTTTTCAAAACTCAGATAGGAAACTTCACATACAGGGATTTCTGATTTAACAGTGTTGCAGATGCCAAGTTAAATAGCCCATTGGAATGAAACAAATAGTTCCCCTGGGGCTCAGCCAGAGAGAGCGGCAGCTTTGCTCCTTGGGGCTTTGCCTGTGTCTTACCAGTTTCTTTTACTATAGCTCAGACGGGAAGATTCTCAAGACCACTGAATTAGTGACTGGCAGCTTGGTTCCTGTCCTCCCCACCCGCTGTAATTTCAACCCTTTCCCATGCCCTTCTCCCTGGAGAACGGATGGTGGTGGGGGAGGGAGGTGGCCCTAGCATGTCACTGGGGAAGGATTTCTGAGCGGCCACTACAAAGTCCTCATGTGCCAGTGTCAGCTGCAGGAAATAGATTGGTATGCTCCCTACCTCTCTCAACCTCCTCTGGGTCAGCTGCCAACAGACTCCAATGGTAAGAGAAAGTGTTGGTTCACGTCCATAAAAACCAGAGCCATTTACTTGAAAACACTTATTTTAAAAGGATAGTGCTATTTCTTTTCTTTTTTAAAGTAGAGGTCGAAAACTGGCAGCCTTTGGAAATGAAACAGCCTATAAAATTTTTGTTCGACCTGCACAGTGTTTGTTTATTATTTTAAAAGTGAATAAGTTGCCAGCATTTAAAAAATAGATACTTCAAATAAAATTTCAGATTTTTAACTTCTTTTGAAAAAATGAGAAGTTTGTCCCTCTCTGTCACCTTCCTTTTGTTGACAGTTAGCTGCGGCAAGGTAAAAACTCTCCTTTAGCTGGGCTGGTGGGCTGCAATTTGCCACAGTTGCCACCACTCACTATTGTTATATAGACACGAAAGACAAATATACTTGCCACCTGTAAGCACATTTGCACGGTTATTTTTTTTCTTAAGTCTGTTATATCACCTGCATGGATCCCATTGGTATTTGGGTTTGAGACCCCTAACTTAAAATAGTAGGAGCTAGATCAAGCTATAATTAAACAGGAGTCAATATTTACTGGTTCTGTTCCCCTATCAGTGAAACAGTCTTATGAGTTGTACCTTTTCTGTGACTCCAGCTCATGTCTTCCTACCCAATCTTTAGCAATGCACAGGGCTCGGGGAGGATCACCTATTTCCCTATGTTACATTCTTTTCTATTTTTCCTTTTCTTTTTTTTTTTTTTTTTTGAGTTGGAGTTGTACTTTGTCGCCCAGACTGGAGTACAATGGCACACTCACAGCCACCACAACCTCGACCTGCTGGGTTCAGATCTTTTTGCCTCAGCCTTCCAAGTAACTGGAACTACTGGTGTGCACCACCACACCCAGCTAATTTTTTAATATATTGTAGAGATGAGGGCTCACCAAGTTTCCGAGGCTGATCTCGAACCCTGGGTTTAGGCAATCCTCTCGCCTTGGTCTCCCAAAGTGCTGAGATTATAGGTATAAGTCGTCACTCCTGGCCGTGTTACATTATATTCATGCCTGCATTGTGTTGTGAAATTTCATATTCCTCCTGGCTTGGCCTTGTCAAATATTTGCTACAAGGGGCATTTTCACTATGGCTGTCACCTATATTGGCATTCTCAGATTGTGTTTTTATTTTTTTATTATTTAAAAAAATAAACTGCATTTTTTTTTGAGTCAGAGTCTCACTCTGTCACCCAGGCTGGATGGCAGTGGCACACTCACGGCCACCCAAGCTTCGACCTGCTGGGCTTCTGTGATCCTTCCGCCTCAGCTTTCCAAGTAGCTGGAACTACAGGCGCGCGCTACCATGCCTGGCTAATTTTTTAAATTTATTTTATAGATGAGGTCTCACCAATTTGCCCAGGCTGATCTTGAATCCTTGGGCTCAGGCAATCCACGTGCGTTGGCCTCCCAAAAGTGCCAAGATTACAGGCTGAGCCACTGAGCCCAGCCTAGCTTGTGTTTTTAAAAGCAACACCTCCCTCTCCAGGCTTCGGTCTATTTTTCTTCCCCTCGCTAGGGCTCCAGGAAAGGAGGACCATGAGCCAGTTGGTGTTGGCCTCATGTTGACTGGGGCATTGCATCGCTGCCGGAAGCTGGGCACTTCGCTCTTTGTCCAGGCGTTCTGGTGTATGGGGCGGGGGACACAGTCTCTGAGGGGCCGGGGAGCAAATGTGTCTGCAACTGATGGGCCAGAGGAAAGCAAGGGCCTCCGTGTGCGAGGGCGGACACTGAACGCTTTGTTGCGACTCAACTTGGTTGCAGATGGGCTCTTACTTCGGCTCCTCCTTATGCGCAGTTGACCTGAACAGGGATGGCCTCTCCGATCTGCTGGTGGGAGCCCCCATGTTTTCTGAGATCAGGGATGAGGGGCAGGTCACCGTCTACATCAACAGAGGAAATGTGAGTACAAGGATGGGTACTGTGGGGATGGATGTGGGGGAGGGACGTCTGTTCAGTTAGTCGTGACAGAGCACCTCTCTGGGCATGCCCTGGGCCACGTTACCTAGAGAAAGTGAACAGACCTGGTTCCTGCCTTGAAGAAGCCTGATGGTTCACGAATAGAAAGTTATATATAATGTGACATCGGCAAACAGACAGGGGCCAGGAGGAATCTTCGTGACTGTTTGTGTGCTTACTGTGTACCAAGGGGCTATTCCTCTTGCTTTCTTTGAGTGATTTCAGTCTAATGTACACATGGTGTCGAGGGTCCCTATTTTTCTGAGGCCTGTAGAGGTTAAGTGACATGTTCTAAATCACACAGCTAAGAAGTGGTAGGGCTGGGATTTGAACCCAGGCTAGCTGGCTTCAGAGCTGCGTGCTTCATCTTGAAGTTGTGCTGCCTGTGTGAGCATATAGACATCTGTCCAGGAAAGCAGAGGGGAACACGTGGGCTGAGGGAGAGTCTTGAAGAAGGAGTAGGAATTAGTAGGTAGGCAGATTGGGTTGGGGTAGCTCCGAGGGGGAACTGGGCAAGTGGCTTGAGGTGCGAGGCAGGGCCACTTGGTTCAGCATGGCAGGGAGGAGGCTGTCCCTTATTCTGCAGAACCATGAAAGGGATATGACAGAGTCAGGTGCCTCTCCCCCACTGCAGCCAATGGAGGGTGGGTGCATGGGAACCAGGCTGGGGTGGGGGAGACCAGCGCATCTGTGGAGGCAGGAGACCAGTGAGGAAGCATAATCTTTTGAGGCTCTGGAAGTATGAGTGTTCAACAAGAGAGAAACAGTTCAATGAATACGTTCTAGCTGGGTGCAGTGGCTCACGCCTGTAATCCAAGCACTTTGGAAGACTGAGGCAGGAAGATTGCTTGACCCCAGGAGTTTGAGACCAGCCTGGGAAACATAGCAAGACCTTGCCTCTACAAAAAAAATTTAAAAATTAGCCATGCATGGTGGTGTGCACCTATAGTCCCAGCTACTTGGGAGGCTAAGGCAGAAGGATCACCTGAGCCCAGGCAGTCAAGGGTGAGATGAGCTGTGATTGTGCCACTGCATTTCGCCTGGGCAGCAGAATGAGACCCAGACTATGTTTATATATATTCTGGTAGCACCTGTCTTAGCCAACATGCGCAACATGAGAAAAATGCTTATGAGATTATCAGGGGAAAATGTTTAAAAACTTTGTGTACAAATAACCTTTAAAAACATGCCAATTCATAGACAATGAAAATAGCAGAGCTCTCTGGGTAGATTTTTAGTTTTATCTTTATTCAAATAGTGAAAGTGCAATACTTTCATAATAACAAAATCAGCAAGAGTGTACTGTTAAGCTGTGACCATGATGCTAGTTATCCCAGTTGGGAGAGGCAGTGGTGCCTAACTGTAACCAGGCGGGCAGATGCCAGAATGAAAGGCAGGTAGTTAAGGAGAGTCTGGGACTGAGAACTGCAGGCTCCTTGGGAAGGTGGATCTAGAACCTTCGGGGGAAAATGATTCTTGGTATTTGTTGCAGTCATTCTTGGCACGTGCGTCTCCACTCACATTCCAGGAAGGAGGGCAGAGCAGGGTGTGGGAAGAAATGAGGTGAACATTATCTAGATGAAAGCAGTGGGCATTCTGTGACTGCATGCCATTATGTTTGCAGGAGACTGAAACCTCTAGGTGGGAGTCAGGCCACTGATTATGTGTCTAAAGCAGGGGGTGGACTCTTGGAGTGTGATCATCCTCCCAACTTCCTCTGGGCATGATGCACCCCCACGTCCCCCCCACCAACCAGCGTATCTTGATGCTGTGTGGCTACCCTATCTACCAGGGTGTTGTCATGTCTGTTGACCCTTAGTCCATCTGGTTAAAAATTGGCAGGCAGTATGGAGGAGTGGGAGAAATGCTGACTTTGGAGCAAGGTGGGCCTGGGTTTGAATCTTGGTTTTGCTACTTCCTAGCCTGTGTGATGTGGATAAGCAGCTTGAAATTGGTGACTCAATTTCCTTATCTGTAAAGAGAAAGGAGTCATAAAGTCTTTCCCATAGAGCTATTGGGTGATTTAAATGAGGAGATGGATGTACAGTGCCTGGTATGCAGGAGGAATAAGGTCCTGGTGTTTCTCTCCTTTTCACCACACTGATAGGAAGAGATTAACACATATTTGTGTTCTGCATTGGGGGTTTCACTGACCCAAGAAATAACCACATCTTTATTGTTTTCAAGTTGTGAATTGTGTTTATAGTGAAAAAGAAGATTTGGTCATGACAAAAGCAGGACGCTCATGGGATGACTTGTGAGTGTATGGTGGGTTCAGAGTGCCTCTACAGTGGGGAAGGCTTAAAGAATCTCATACCTCTGGACATTAGATTGCATTGTGATGCTCTGGTACTCATGTTGGTGGTTTCGGGGGGAAAGCAAGTATGACTCCACCTGCAAAATCAGAAGATTTTTCCTGCCACAATACACCATTGGCTTCTTCTCTACTTTGGTTAGTATTTGCTCTGGAAATTCAAAGCTGACCCATGTGTGAGTCCTCTGGTCAAGAACTACTGGGCGTTTGGATTTTCTCAACTGTGACCCCTCCTATCAAGATGATGGATACATCATGCACCTTGCAAAAAAGCTCTTTTTTTTTTTTCCTGCTTCTTTTTCTTTTTTATGAATCAGGGTCTCACTTTGTTGACCAGGCTGGGGTGCAGTGGCATGATCACGGCTCACTGTAGGCTCAAACTCCTGGGCTCAAGTGATCCAGATCCTCCTATTTCAGCTTCCTGAATACCTGGAACTACAGGTTCGTGCCACCATATCTAGCTAATTTTTAAAATTTTTATAGAGGGAGAAGTCTTGCTATGGTGCCCAGGCTGGTCTCAAACTCATGGGCTCAAGCAATCCTCCCACCTCAGCCTCCCAAAGTGCTGGGATTACAGGCATGAGCCACTGCACCTAGCCCCAAAACAGCTTTATGAACTTGTACTGAAAGGTACACGAGAGAAAAAATAGATGAATGTATACCCTTTAAAAACAACATTTGGGAAAAAATGCTGTATCAGAAGGAAAGCTGAGGGCACCCTGTGGGGACAGGTGGGTATGGAGATTAGCTTATTCATGGAGTCTTAAGATGAAAGGGAGGTGTAGTCACTGACCAACATGATATTCTCCTTCCCTTGAAAACATCTCAGGTTGTTGGAGACCTTCCTGCTGAGCAGGTAAAGGGACTCATTTTGAGTCCCTAGGAGGGAGAAGTTTGGTTCCTGTGATTCTGCCCAGGTGTTTCCTGTCAATGGGTGTGCTCTAGGAGGTAACATCCGAGCTCTGTTTTTTTATGGGTTGTTCTGTTTGTTTTTGTTTTGTTTTTTTTGTTTTTTCTTCCATCCTGTTTCCCAGGGAGCCCTCGAGGAGCAGCTGGCCCTGACTGGGGACTGTGCCTATAATGCACACTTTGGGGAGAGCATCGCCAGCCTGGATGACCTTGATGATGATGGGTTCCCAGGTGAGTGAGCGCGGGGTGCCCCTCCAGGTATAACATGCCACCTGCTTCAGAGGGGCAGCCTGCCCTCTGTCTGTCCGTCTCCAGCAACACACTCCTGAATCTACCTGCCTAGTCTTAAGGCCCATCAATGTGCTGTGGGAAGAGGATAACTTTTAGAGATGTTGTCCATGTAGAAACTCAGACTGAGCTTTGAACTCACTGGAGTTTTGCTTCTGCATAATCCTTTCTTTTTTTTTTTTAAGTTGGAGTCTCACTCTGTCACCCAGACTGGAGTGCAGTGGCTGCTCCCGGCCACCGTAGCCTCGAACTGCTGGGCTCCAGCAATCCTTCCACCTCAGCATTCCAAGTAGCTGGAACTGCAGGCGTGCGCTACCACGCCTGGCTAATTTTTGATTTATTGTAGAGATGAGGTCTCACCAAGTTGCCCAGGCGGGTCTTGAACCCGCAGGCTCAGGCAATCCACTCACCTCAGCCTCCCAAAGCATGGGATTATAGGCTGAGCCACCGAGCCCGGCTGCATACTCCTTTCTTATCAGCTCAGTGTTCTTTGCCGTTTGCAGTAGAAGCAAACCTTGGGGCCTATTCATTCAGGTCTTCTTGCAGCAGAGAAGTTTGAACCAGCTTCCTCCCACTACAAACTCTTCTTGTTTCTGTGCCCCCGATGCTCCATGATGTTAGACGCTCTGCCATGATGTTAGAGAAATGAGTCAGGAGAGATTTAGACAATTAGGCATTGTTTCCCCTGACAGTGGCAGCAGCTGGATTGCCTTTTGAGTTGGTGCATGTCGGGAGGTGTGGAGGCATATATGCCTAATATCCAGGTCTGTTTGGACAGCAGTATCCCTCGCAGCCTCCTGGCCTCCCTCTCTGGCACACACAGTACACAGACTTGGAAGAGCCGTGTCCCCAGGGTGTGTGGCCGGGAGGGGAGAAACCCTTGCCCAGGGCAGGCATCCAGGCTCACCCACAGAGAGCCTCATTCAGAGAGAGGGGGGACCTCCATCTCCAGGTCATGTGGATACATGCTCCTCACCCTTGACCTCACTTCTACAGACACACGACTTTGTTAGACGCAGAGGGAAAAACCTGAAGAAGACCTAGGCTTTGTTCCAGAAGTTGTCAATCTGTGAGAGTACTGTTGATTTTTTGTGTGTGAAGTGAATGCAATTCTTTTTCTTTTTCTTTTATTTTAAAAATTATTTATTTACTTAGTGAATGCAATTCTATGCGTGTCCTTTGTCCAGGAATAGAGTTGACTTTCTCAGTCTGCGGTTCCGTTGTCTGTGGAATTCCCCTCTCCGACAGAAGTTTAGGGCAGGTAGTTTATGTTTGCCTTTCTTTTATTGGATGAGTCAATGACTCTTCTTATGAGAATAAGGTAGAAACTTTTCTGGAACTAAATTCTTCTTAGCATCTCTTCTTTCTATTTTTTTTTTCTGCTAAGAGATCACATGCCTAATTTAATGCTTGTACAATCTACAGACAAGGATTCTGGTATCCAGGGGGCTTAGACATGATAACTGGAATTAGAGAAGTCATTTATATTTATTGTTATATTATTAATATATTTTGTTTTAGATTCGGGGGTACGCATGCATGTTCATTACATGGACACATTGGACAGTGGTGGGGTTTGGGTCTCAGGGGTCTCAGGTGGCTCATTCTCTAGATAGTGAACATTATTCCCGGTAGGTAGTTTCTGATCGTAACCCCTAAGCACCTCTCTTCCCACCTTATTGGTGTCCCCAGTGTCCATTATTTCCATCTTTGTCACCATTTAGCTCCCACATATGAGTGAGAAATGCAGTGTTTTCTGTTTCTGAATCAGTTTCTGAGAATGATGATCTCCAGCTTGATCCATATTGCTGCAACGGACATCATTTCATTCTTTTTTTATGGCTGCATAGTATTCTATGGTATATGTATGCCCTGTTTTCATTATCCACTGATTGATTGATGGGCATTTAGGCTGATTCCACATCTTTGCAATTGTGAATTATTCTGCAGTGAACACGTGGGTGCTGGTGTCTTTATATAATGACTTCTGTTTCTTAGGATAGATACCTAATAGTGAGATTGCTGGATCAAATAGTAGATTTACTTTTAGTTCTTTGAGTAATTTCTATACTGCTTTCCATGGAGGTTGTACTAATTTACACTCTCACCAACAATGTGTAAGTGTTCCCTTTTCTCCGTATCCTTGCCAGCATCTATTGTTTTTTTATTATTATATTTTTTTTTAGTTGGAGTCTCACTCCATCGCCTAGGCTGGAGTGTAGTAGCATGCTCACGGCCACCCTAGTGTTGACCTGCTGGCCCTTGGTGATCCTTCCACCTCAGCCTTCCAAGTAGCTGGAACTACAGGCACGCACTACCATGCCTGGCTAAATTTTTATTTATTGTAGAGACGAGATCTTGCCAAGTTGCCTGGGCTGGTCTTGAACCCGCGGGCTCAGACAATCCACTTGCCTTGGCCTCCCAAAGTGCTGGGATTACAGGCTGAGCCACCGAGCCTGGCCTGTTTTTTGATTTTTTAAACAATGGTCATTCTGATTGGTGTAAGGTATCTCATTTCCCTGATTATGAGTGATGTTGACCATTTTTTATATGTTTATTGACCATTTGTTTATCTTCTTTTGAGAGATATCTGTTCATGCCGTTTGCCCACTTTTTAATGGGGTTATTTGCATTTTTCTTGTTGATTTGTTTGAGTTCTTTGTGGATTCTGGATATCAGTCCTTTGTCAGATGTATAGTTTGTGAATATCTTCTCCCGTCTTGTAGGTTGCCTATTTGCTCTGTTGATTATTTCTTTTGCTGGAAGTCACACTTATATTATTCCATATGGTTTTTCTAACCCAGAGCTGTTTTTCTCTCCTCAGACGTGGCCATTGGTGCACCCAAGGAGGACGACTTTGCAGGTGCTGTCTATATATATCATGGTGATGCCAGTGGGATAGTCCCCCAGTACTCAATGGTACGTGGTGTGAGAGGGATATGGTAATTGTTTGTTCATACATTCATTTAACAAACATGTATGGAACCTTCACTATGCACAATGGGAGTATAAAGGAAAACACAACACTGCTTTCTAATGAAAATCCTTCAGGGAAAGACAGAAACAATTGACATTGCCTATTGAACACAAAATAGTATTCTTAGAAACTTTTATTTGCTCATATTCAGGGATGTATTCTGTCTACAAAAGGTGATATCCATCTCTTACCCAGAGTTAGAGTCATCTAATTAAGAAGAGAGGGGAAGATTTCTCTTTTTGATTACTCCTTTGTCAACCATCTACACTAAACCAAAGGAATATGCTTAAAAGTATAATCTAGCCGGGCTTGGTGGCTCAGCCTGTAATCCCGTGCCTTTGGGAGGCTGAGGTGAGTGGATTGCCTGAGCCCGCGGGTTCGAGACCCGCCTGGGTGACTTGGCGAGACCGCATCTCTACAATAAATCAAAAACTAGCCGGGCATGGTAGCGTGTGCCTGTAGTTCCAGCTACTTGGAAGGCTGAGGCGGAAGGATCACCGGAGCCTAGCAGGTCGAGGCTGTGGTGACCGGGAGCGGCCACTGCTCTCCAGTCTGGGTGACTGAGTGAGACTCCAACTCAAAAAAAAAAAAAAAATAGTATAATCTAGAGAGACAGTGATCCATGGAGGAGGGGCCTGAGTATTCACAGGCTATGGTCACAATTGGCATTCAAATCAGGAGCCAGTCAAGACTCTGGCCTTGTGCCCTAGACTCAGGAACGTGGAAGTGGTAAGTTCTGTTTTTTTGCCATATCAGCTTGGTGTTCAATCTTGCTGATGGTATCAAGCCCAGCCCATGGGAAAAAAGGAAGTCACACTCTCAATGGAAGCACTGTCAGGATATTTGTGGATGTCTGTGTATGGAGGGCACTGGCCCATGTCTTTCTCCCAGTGGGCTAGTGACAGAAGGGGACACACATCGAGAAATTCCCAATCAACAAATATTTATTTATTGAACACTTATATGCATTAACCATTTCCTATTCATGTTTATATGTACTTTTTTTTTTTTTTTTTGAGTTGGAGTCTCACTCTGTCACCCAGACTGGAGTGCAG